CCTTGGACTGTTTTCCGTGCTCTCTGCTGATTTCTTGCTAGGTATCGTTTTGCATGGCTCTGTGTAACATATACATCGTCATTGTCCCCTCTATGGTCGTTACATCTATATGCATAGTGTCTTTCTGGGCATGATCGTCATACATCGGGGTCAGCCCTCACCTAGAGATGTGTGCCTTCAGGAACTCCAGGGCCTGATCGAACAACCCTCCAGCGCCTCCAAACTCTTGTTCTGCATCCGGCTCGTAATCGAAGGAGTGTTCCTTGCCCTCTACAATCTTCAGCTCTGCATGAATTCCTGCATTCTCCAGGAGCCGATGCATGTTCTTGGACTCTCGGACCCATACTGCAGAATCGACGGAGCCGTGCAGGAGGAGTGTGGGAGGGAAAGAGGACACGTCAGCGAATTGAGGAAAGAGGGGTAGATGCTCAGTTGGGATTGAGCTGCGATACTTCTCGGCGCCGGTGTCTGAGTAGTTCGGGTCTTCCGAGAGCAGTCCGTCCTGTGAGAGGAGATCGCGCAGAGTGACACTCAAGCTGGGCTGGTGAGAGCCGGTGAAGTAGTCCAGATAGGTACCGGTCTGGAGATAGAGTCGGCCGAGCAGCATTCTAGGATTAGCAGGGAAGTTGGGTATGTGGTGTGTAGGGGGATGATAAGCCAGCGGAGAATCGTTGACGACAGGAGACTTGCGACAAGCAGGATATAAGTACTTGGCGAAGTCCTTGGGGTCCAAGATCTCGCGTCCTCGGAGGAAGGGGGAGGTCTTGTGGTCGAGGTACATCCATGTCTTGATGCGATGAGCGTGCAATATTCGGAAAGGAGTGATAGTAGACTCACCAACATGTCGCCGCCCATCCCGTAGAGCGACAGGGCCACCTTGGGTTTCGGGGACACGTACAGAGCCGCGTAATACACACACATACTGCCCGCGCTGCTTCCTGCTACCGCCAGAGCACTTGGATCTAGCTCGAAGGACGAACTCCCCTCCGCCTCACATGCGTCGCGTATCTTCTGGTTGGCCTCAAGCTCCAGGAAACGGAAGAGAGCCTTGACATCGTTGAGAATGTCGCGACCAGTGGCAGGTGTCAAGAGAGTGTAATCAGCCGATACGAATGCCATTCCAGACGATGTCACGCGTTCTGGGTTGAATCAGGGAAAAACATCCAGGAGCGGATTGACATGCGGAGACGTACTGTGCAGCCAAGTGGGAAACCAGCTCCGTCTATTGCCAACCGTGAGGGAGCCACCATGGAAGTACACCACCGCAGGACATGGCGAGGTAGCTGTAGTAGCTTGTGGTCTCGAAGGCGGATAGATGTCGACGTGGATAGGCTGATGGCCTAAGTCGTGCTTGTAGACAAACGTTAGGCTACTCGGAGGCATCTCGCGCGTTCTCAGTATGAAGCTGATGGAGCACAAGCAGTAACTGATGCGTCTATATTGAGCGAGTGAGAGGAGTCCTAAGGTGCAAAGTCTAGGGAGGCCGTGGCGGTTGGTGGTCAGGAGGGTCGGCGTCTACTCACGACGCGACGCGACATGGACGCGTTCCTCAGAGGCTCAGCCACCCACCACGATCATCACTCTCTCCTGTTCTTCAAAGTCCTAGGGCGTCATGGCACATATCCTTGAAATGCAGGTCCAGAGCAAGTGGAACAATTCGTTCACGCGTCTTAACAGAGGGGAACCGGGAATCGCTGGGCTGCTTTCGTTCAGCCAGGTCCGCCACTTCTGTTCGTGCAGTCTGAACAAAACTCATAGTCTCATGGTCACTGAATTTCACAGGCATGGAAGACTGCAACTGGCTTTCTCTACCCTCGAGACTTGAATGATCCTGCACCTCGTCCGGAGTATAGTGAGTTCGGAAACTCTGTCGGGTGGCGACCTGAGTGCTGAGTGGTGTCCAAGGCATACACGAAGTGCGGACGTCCTTTGAGTTGCTGAGCAAGGCGAAGATGCTACCGCTGCTGATGGAAAACTTCCTTGGTGAGTGTTGTCCCCCAATTTCAGAAGGCCGCACTCATGTCGCCTCCTAGAGGATATGCGGAAGCAACAGCACCTCATTGAGCGTGATATACACAAGTATATGGCTGAGTACGAGGTGCGTCGACTATGATCTATCATAAACTGCTACTCAGTGAGGACGAGTAGGAGACGGATACCCCGGATGCCATCGCAAGGATGCTATTCAGGCTTGTGGAGTGGTACAAGGCATGGTCACCTATCCCAGAGTAAGCCCAACCAGACGGATAGTCGAGACTGCTCCTGATCACCTTTACCGCAGACTAGGTTCCATCCTCCTCTCTGCATATACACTAGCCTTCCAAACTCACATATACTCGACATTTCCGCCGTCGTTCTCGCGTGGCTTCAAGCAACTCATCGCATCTACGTTCTCGTTGGTGAACGCGTCTTGCCCACCACCTTGGGCGCTTCCCGCAGATCCTCAACCATCAACTTCTGCAGCCCCTGCCCGTCCAGATTTGCCCCTGTGGTCTGCGTGCGAGGCGCTTGGCCTGCTTGATCGGTACGAGTCACTCATCGCTAGTGTGTGCTATGAGTACATCGAAGCGCATGTCATGGAAACATGTGCGAAGAAGTGGGAAGAATCCATGTTGACATACCTGAGGGAATGGATGGCCGAGAAAGTCGTACCATGGATGGTAATGCCGTATGCAAGAGGAGCACGGACTGGTGGGCGATTCACTGATGCTGTCGCCAGCGCACAAATTCAATGATGCCATCCACCTCTACAGCGGAAGAAGCTCGCCAAATGCTGCAGGGCGTTGGTTCGAGGTTTGATTACCATGTGTGCAAGACATTGTGTGACCTTCGGTAGGTACTCGCCCCGAGATTGGAATGCCAGCATTCTCTGATTCTGCTTGCTTCAGACTACAAGAAATCTTCGACATCATTGTCGATTTTCCTGACTCCCAGCCCGCACTGGAAGACCTGAAGGTGGAGACCAATTTGCCACACCCGCAAGCGCATTCTGACTCCTGCGTAGGAATGTCTCATCCGAGTGGACCAGCGCTCTGAGCTGGTACGAACGTTACGGAAAGCGTGGGTACTCCTCCCAACCATAGCTGGCCTATCTTGACGAACCGTTGCAGAAACAAGAAGCGACTTCTGCACCCTGGCGCTGACACGCAAGTCATACTCAATCAATACGTCTCCATAATGCGCTGCCTACGCTTTCTGGACCCACCAGGAGTGTTACTGTACAAAGTGGCCGACCCGATCCGCAAATATCTCAGGTGATTTCGCCGCTAGTTAGTGGTCGAGCTCGCTAATTACAACCACATTGTACAGAGAACGGCCCGACACCATTCGGTGCATTGTTGCCAACCTTGTCGGGGACGGCGAGAGCGAAGACTCAATTGTGGACGAGAACGAGCCTATACAGCCGTTGCAGCAGAGACAAGCTGATGACTATAATGATCCAAACTGGGAGCCTGAGCCCATCGACGCAGGCCCAGGTACCTCGCTCTCAACTTCCGCGATGCTATGTGAGACTCACGTTCTCATTCATGTAGACTTCCGGACGAACAAACCTACCGACGTCATCAGCACGCTGGTCAGCATCTACGACTCGAAAGATCTCTTTGTCAAGGAGCTGCAAGTATTGCTCGCCCAAAGGCTGCTCGCTGTAACGGATGGCAACTATGAGAAGGAGGTGCGTGGTCACGGGAACAGAGAAAAGTTCCGACCTCTGAGCTTGGGGCTCCAGCGTCGGAATATCGAGATCCTGAAGATCCGTTTCGGAGAGGCGGCGTTGCAAGTCTGCGAGGTGATGTTACGAGACATGACCGATTCGAGGCGTATCGACCAGCACGTCCAAGCACAAAAGCCGGTAAGAACCCACGCATGGATGTCCACGGAGTTCAAGCTCATCGCTATGCTAGATGCCTCTCCATCCCACCATCATTTCGCGACACTTCTGGCCGCCGCTGCAAACGAGCAGCTTCAACATGCCCGGCCAGTTCAAGGAGTACGTAGCGTGTCCAGGATCATCATTAACAAGTTATTCACGTGCATGCGTCTAGGATTCAAGATGCGTATGCGAAGGAGTTCCACCAGTTCAAGCCGGACAAGAAGCTCCACTGGCTCCCCCATCTAGGAACGATCAGTTTGGACATCGAGTTGCAGGACCGCACCGTTTCCGCAGAGGTCCCGCCACTGGAGGCCGCCATTATCGAGCACTTCTCGACCAAAGGCAAGCCTTCTATCGGACACTCTGCCTTTGGCGTGTTACTCACAGCTCTGTATAGACACGTGGGGCGTTGCGGACCTAGCAACGGAGATGAAGATTGAACGAGCGGCCGCCCTGAAAGCCATCATGACTTGGGTCGACCTCGGCGTGCTGAAAGAGGAAGACTCGGGAATGTACAAACTGCTTGAAGTAGCGGAGGCAGCTTCTTCGAGTTCAAAGCCCGTTGCACGACCAGGCACGTCCCTCCGAGAATCTTGTCCTCGAATCAATGCTGATGATACTTGCGCTAGCAGTCATAGAGGATCTCCCCTCGGTGCTAACTGTTCAGCAGCAACAGGCAGAACAGATGAAGGTGTTTTGGAAGGTATGTTTTTATGCAAGGTTTGAACGTTTCGAATACTCGCTAAACGATGGATCTGCGAACTCGTGTCCAGTTTATCGAGGGCATGCTCACGAATCTCGGGGCCCTCAGTCTGGTGAGAATCCAGAACATGCTCAAGTTCGCTCCTGGATACGACAGGACGATCGATCAGTTGGCAGAGTTTATGGAAGCTGCACGTCGAGAAGGACTGGTGACGGTGAAGGATGGGGCGTGGAAGCTCCAACGGTGAACCAACTGGCTGCTGGATGTATCGACTCTACATCATGTTCATGTATTAGTACCTCTTGAAAGAGACTTTAACGGATTTCATCTGCATCTTGGGCACCGGCGCTAAAATCCAAGTAGTTAATACAGTGCAACTTGCATGGGTTGAGAACCCTGAGAAAAAAGATAATATCAGATAATAACTGCCTCCTGGCTGGATTGAACAACCGACCTCACCATTCCCCAATACGAGTGGCGCGCTCTACCACTGAGCTAAGAAGGCTTGATGTGGTTCTCGTATTTTAACATTATGTTTTGCATGAACAACATCGAGGAAATGAAACGAATTTGGATCATTGGCAGAGGTTGATATATGATATCTGCCAGTACCCCAGTAATGCAAGTCAGTTATTCTCCGGAGTCCGAGCTAACGAAGCATCGCTGCTGCGCTGATCCCTGGATGATAGAGAATCTCTCGGCGCTCTTGGATAGCGTCAGAACCCAATGTCCTCCATTTGGCGAAGTTATTGAACAGCATCAGGAGGACGGGCCTTCGACGGCGACGACCCAGTCATGTGGCGAACGTGGTCAGGCTAACTACAGCCTACCCCGCTTGCATCATTGCTTTTCCTCCGGCGGAGTCCCCATATAAACCGACGACATGGCTTCCCAAGCCCGCCTTCTCAGGCTAGCTTCTTCCCCACATTCCTACTGTCATTAACTTATCCGCATTGACAGCCCGTCAGAGTCTCTTCGACAAGAACTCCGCTGTCTGCGTCGTAATTTATACTCCCTGTCCCAGGTTCATCGAAGTAGGATCGCCCTAGTGCTCCCTAGACTACCATGTCCTCTACAACTGCGGTTTCCCCCCTCTCGACCACCCAACCGGTCGAATCAATGTCTAGCAGCACCCCGGAGCGGACGCCCCGTACCCTCATCCTCTGCTTCGACGGTACCTCCAACCAATTTGATGGTGATGTGAGGCTATTTACCTATGTGTGCCGACATTCTCCCGGATGCTCGCTGACACGCTTATCGCGCAGAACACAAACGTAGTCAAGTTTTATTCCCTGCTCAAGAAGGACGACGACTTCGACCAGCAGCTCTGCTACTACCAGGTGGGTGGAGGGCATCGTCTCACGACGGCATGCCTGCACTCTGCATCCCACGGGATTAATAGCTCATGACACGGATGCATTCTCGCCTTCTCCGCAGCCTGGGATAGGAACATACTTCAATCCAGGCGTGGTTTCTCCGCTCTTCCAATGGTGTGCGAAGATTCTTGACGAAGCATTCGCATGGTCCGTGTGCTCGACCATGGGGCCATTCGTCCGTACTGACGCACGAGCCTTGACAGGTATCTCGACGAACACGTTCGTGGAGGCTACCAGTTCTTGATGCAGAACTATGTGGCCGGAGACAAGATATGTATTTTCGGTACGATCCAGGCATCTGAGCTCACCTTGACACGCGCACTGAATGTCTCATCGAAGGATTCTCGCGCGGGGCCTATACCGCTAGAGCCTTAGCTGGGTTGCTTCACAAGGTACGCACGTGGCGTCGTAGTCGGCGGCCTGCCAGCTGTATGTGCGACAACCCAATAACTCAAAATGGCCTCTTCACAGATCGGACTGCTTCCCCGAGATAATCCAGAACAGATCCCCTTCGCGTACAAGCTCTACAAGAAAACAGACGACGAGAGCCTCGCTCTCGCGGCCGGCTTCAAGCAGACCTTCTGCCGAGATGTGCAGATTGAGTTCGTTGGCGTCTGGTAAGTCGCAGATATCCTACCAGTACTCGACATAAGCTCTCACACCATCCAGGGAGACGGTGTCAAGCGTTGGCGTACTCATGGGGCGCACGCTTCCCTTTACCACTGCGAACACCACCATTAAGACGTTCCGACATGCCTTGTCCCTGGATGAGGTATTTGTGGTTCTCCGTATCACCGCTGGCGTCATTTTTGACAACTGCGACAGCATCGCGTGAAGTTCCAGCCCAACCTCTACCACCGAGCGACCCCAGAAGAGCAGTCAGCTGCGAAGACGCCCTCTGTGAAGGCAGAGAGCTTGGCCACAGGCACGACATCCCAGGCCCCTGCACAGGCGAAGAGGGATACTGCGGTCAAGCGTCCGACTGCAGCGGTGCGTAGGCAGAGGTCGCTTGGGTCGTGGATGCGCAGGTGGCCGTCCAGGAACCGGCAGAACCCAGCGACGATGACCATGCCAAAGGTCAAGCAGGAGAACGTGGACCTCGAAGCAGGAGTCAACACGCAGTCATCCAACGCGTCAACCTCGTCCAACGCCTCAAGCGGGTCAAGCGACGAGATCGCTGGAGGGACGGACGTGTTGGAGGTCTGGTTCGCTGGCTGTCACAGCGGTACGTCCTGTTGTCCCATGTACTTCCTGAAAGTCTCTGAGCTCTCCAATAGATGTTGGCGGAGGTTCCGTCCCTGACGACACGAAGACCAGCCTCTCGGACATCACTCTGCGCTGGATGGTTCGCGAGGTCGTCCTGGCACAATGCGGTATCACGTTTGACCAGGCCGCCCTCGTGCGCGCCAACATCCCCGACGCCATCTTCAAAGGTTCAGGCATGCCGCTGCCCAAGAACACGATCATCACTCCTAAGCCAGCTGAGGACGTCAACCTTCCCTCCCAAATCGACCCCGCGAATCCGAAACCGCAGGATCCCGCCTCGAACTCTCCGACCGACGGCTCGGGATCTGGCAGCGATCCGCTCGACGTGGACGTCGACGCGCTGCAGCCAATATATGACGAGCTCCAGTTGACAAAGTCTTGGTGGCTCCTCGAGATTATCCCGCTTTCGTACCAGTGCCAGGACGCGAGCGGGAAGTGGGTCACGAAGTGGTGGTACGTCTGTCTTGTACTGGGCCTATGTCTATCTTCATGCCGATGACCCTTTCGCTACATAGGATACACCTCGGACGAGGCCGAGAGATAACCCAAACCAAGCCGAAGTTCCATGTGACCGTCAAGGAGCGCATGCAAGACCAGAACTTGAAGTATACTCCGCGCGCGAAGTGGACGGCAGGGACGGAGATATATGTGGAATGAACGGATGTTCATTTCTCCTGTGAACTTGTTGTTCCTCTATTTAAATCGTCACTTCCTGGTTGCATCTACTATCGGTATTCTTCTCTAGCTCTACCCTACTCATCAATCCCCTGTCAATACCCAAACATCCTCTTGATGTGACGTACATACTTAACGACCTCACCACCCCTACGACCTGTTACGACCTTATACGAATGCAATGATGTTTTTCTATCACTGTTCAACTGACTTGAACACTAGTCTCCTTGTAGTGTGCACGCAAACAGTACTGACAATCTGCGGCCCATTATGGAACGCAGGGACTTGTGGGCGTCTAGATGTCTGCATCGCCTCGTCTTGTACCTCCAGCACGCCGTACAGCAATCTATGGAAATCTCTATCATCGATCGCCCACACGCACCCACCGACTCTGCGCACAGGACTACGCTATGGGGACATGTTGAGTATCCCCTCAGCTACCCAGCTTAGAAGTTGGTTCTAGCTTGACAACACAAGCTTGTTGTTCTTGCTGACAACAAGAGCGTTAGGGCCAGAAGCGTCGATGTGCTCACAATAAGCACCATAAACACCGCCCAATCACTATGTCGTTGTACCTTGGGTCCTTGCGGCGTTGTCCTTTCCTTGGCACTATCGTCTCTGTTCGTCGGAGCGAAGCGCTAGCAGGCGTTGATATATGCACTTCTGTGGGCGGCCCTAATCCCCAACAACTATCCGACAACGCCGCCGTTCCGCCACACCCATGGCCATCGAGCATCCCACCTCGTCTCCCTGTTACTGTGCTTACGATGTCCCAGTGGCCGTAGACCAGAACATGGAGTCGCTATACAAGCAGGAAGCGCTCCTCCATAATGCCAAAGACTCGCATAGGTTCATAGTAGGCCCCATGCCTGTACCCGAATTTCTCCGCCGCTTCCTCAAGGTACAAGACGTCGTACAAGTCTCCAAAGAACGGACGACTCATCCTAGCTCTGGCAACTTCTTTGGAGTGCCTGACACAACAGATGGTGGCTTCCGCACGGCGCGAATATACGAACCCCTGGTGCGCCACGGCACATACACATGCTCGCCACAGCTTCCGCTGACCATCTTCTCAGCTCAAGGCATTGAAAGATAACAATTTGTGTCCGGGTTTCGGGTTTCGTCAGCCGTCGGAACCTGCCGTTCCCAAGCATGAGCTCGGCAGAACGGAGCCACACATATGTTGCTACGCAGCGGAACAGCTCGCGACACTCGAAGGAAACCCTTCGCCCAAGCTCGGCTACGCTGAGCTTTTCATCGACGTCAGTTACACCCAGCCCAACCTGGACTATTTCTGTGACCAGAGCCCCTTGAGCCCGCCAGATTTTGTGTCCACCATCACCGACAATTGTGCGCCTGGGATCAAAGACAAGCTCGACAAGGCGTGGGGGCAACACATTTCCTACGTGACGGAGGTGTTTGCGCGGCAACATCGGGTCTTCTTCTTCACCGTGGCGATCTCCGGCCATTTTGCCCGTCTCTTGCGATGGGACCGTGCGGGCTGCATCGTCACGCAGAGGTTCGATATTCGCACTCATCCCGAGCTACTGGTCGACTTCCTCAAAGGGTTCTCTAAACTCTCCAAGACCGAACGCGGCCATGACGCCACAGTCGGCGCAGCCACCTCCGACGAAGAGGCCGTGTTCCGTGACGCTATCGCGCAACACGTCAAGGCACAGCTAGGGGTGGAGGGCGCAGAGCTGGAGAAGGCCGTCGCGGAGCACTATCTCCCGGGGCGCGTCTCTGCGATGCACGTCCTACAGCAGGGCACTGTGGCATGCCCGGATACGGTTCGCCGATACCTTGTCTCCCGTCCGGTCATCTCACCTCTGTTCCTCGACGGCAGAGGCACGCGGGGCTTCTGGGCTGTTGACGCGTCTACCAACCAGGTCGCCTTCCTGAAAGACACCTGGCGCTTCACCGGGTATCCACTGGAGGGAGATATACTCGAGGAGATGAACGCTAAGGGTGTGCGCAACATCCCTTCACTGCTATACCACGGAGAGGTACCGGACGTTCTTCCAGTCGACCGCAAACGGCGCTTCGAGTGTAGGTGCCTTCTGAATTCCTTATACGTGTTCTCTCGCTGATGAAACCTTCGTGTAGTCAATGAAATCCAGAGCACGGAGACCGACGAGTATTGTCATGACTCTTTCGTGTGTTTCTTGAAAGGGAAGGCGGTTTCTGT